TGTTGCCACTGCGTCATCTGCCGCTGTTGCATCTCGGGGTGTGCTCACAGACTCTGAGTGAGCTAAGGCGGCGGCGGCGGCAGACCTAAATATAGGAACTGGCGGCGAGGGAATTTGGAAGCTCTTTATGAGACGGGGTTGTTTCACCTGGGTCAAACCTTCTGTTATGTTTATGCATAACAGCCCTGAGTCATGTGTCCGACACAGCTTGATCCTAATGATGCTATCCTCAGAAGGAAGTCGAACACCACACTCACCAAACCGAAGATCCTTGGTTATACCAAGTTGGGCCTGGGCGTAAAGGGACAAAAGGAGAGGGGCTGTACCCTTAATCTCATGTGAATCAAGGACGCCCGGAACTCTCAAGTCCTGCTCCAATCCCATTATAGAGAAAGGTATGGTCCTGCTACCCAGGGTTTCGGTAGCACCGCTAAGACCCTTGAAGGTACGATTGCCCTCAGGTTTAAACCTCGTGCTGTAACCGAAGTTCGCAAGTTTCCCCGCCGCGTTTGCTATCCAATCGCTACCGTGAACAGTCGAGTTACAGCCCTCATCCAACACGGCGTATACGTGCTTATCCTCGTAGATATTTACTACGGGCAAATCAACCAAAGCCGGATGGATATCTGTGACCCCCTCAGTGAAAGCCACGAAGGCGTGCCTCGTCGCGGAGGCCCTCGAGGAGCGCGATCTCGCCGACGCCACTTCCCAACTGTTGTTGGTCGATGGCGCAGAGTGATCGTCTAAGGCCTCTTGCAGGTATGCGAGAAGGTCACCGCGGGATATCACGGGCTCGGTTACGAAGTGACCCTCTATGGTCTCTTGAAACTGGGCAATAGCCGGAACTACTACCTCTACGGGGAGGCTATCCCCCGTGCTGCCGACTATGCTGCGCAGAAGATCGAAGTCCAGGGTGTTGGACTCCCGCAGCACTGTGGCTGCGTCATCCCTAGCCTTTCGCTCGGTCTGCGGCTGCTCATCTAGAAGCATCCCACAAAGCTTGCACTTAATGCGGGAGGTCTTCCTACTGCTACCCGACCTCTCGGTGGAGGTGTGGGGGCATGTGGCCTGGTCTATGACAGGCTTCTCTTTCTTCGTCTTGGTGACGGTGCCGCATTTCTTACAGGTCCGCATGTCTATGTATGCGTTACTCCCCGACTTGTTGAACTCCTTGCAACCTCCCCGGCATTTCCGGGGGCCTTCGCTGGACGAAGCAGCTGACGCGGCGAGGCGAACCTCGGGCTGAAAGGGTTCAGGCGGGGGTTCCTGGCTGAGAGGGACATCCCTTCTCGTGATGCTAATGGGGTTATCATCACGCACATCAAAGTACTCCGTGACCCAATCCAAGAAATCGGCCAAATTTATGGATGGGCACTTCTGCGTGCGTCCCCAAAGAACATACCCAGGAAACGTATACAAGACACGCTCATAAGTCAGACCCTTATGCTGACCAAAGGAGAAAACGCGATCGGAACCCTCAGGCGGGCTGTCACGCATGATCCTAGCGGCGGCTGTGCGCCGAAGCTGTGGTGAGAAGAGGGTTTCATTGCCGCGGCCTTTGCCGGTATTGGTCTTTGAGGGAGTCAGCTCAAGGTTGGCTGGGTAACCCTCGAGCCTACCAGCGCTCGCATTCGACAGATGGACACACTCTGTGTCATCCTCCTCCACTGCGGCGAAATACGCCTGAGGCTTCGGCGTCGCCGACTTTGCGGCTGCGTTGGCAGTTCCCCCAGACTGTGCTGGGGTTGTGGTGCCCTTGGGGCCATTGCCCTTACCGCTAAACTTGCAGGCAGCATCTCCGGCCCAATGGCCGATCACACCGCACTTCAGGCACCTACTCTTTGCCTTAAGCTCTGCCAACTTGGCCTTACGATCAGCAATGGTCAAGTTGCTACGCACGACCTTCCCTCCGGATTTTCCGGAGGACTTGCCCTTGTTCTTCCCTTTACCTTTTCCTTTCGCCTGGGCAAAGGCGGTCTGTGCCGCGTACGCAAGCTGAACTGACTCGGCGTAGGAATCATCCAAATCGTCAATCTCAGCTTCATATGCCACTGCCGTATAGGCGTTGAGTTGCAATGCTAGATCTTCATCGTCAATCCATTCATCCGCATCATCTCCCCCAGACGCTGTGGCCTGGTATGCTTCTTCGCCGTAGCCGTCACCGTAGCCTTCCGCGGATTCCTGTTGTTCCTGGTGACCATACTCTGCGGCACTACCATCATACCCCATATAGCCAAACTTAGGGTATTGTGGCTTGGCGTCGAAACGTCTCCAGGTCTTACCTGGGCCACTAGGGTCCTTCTGGGTAAGAAGACGTTCCTTCATGTGCACCACTGAGTGATGCTGAACAAGGACGCGTGCGTACTCATCCACGGTGTGTACGCGGGCGGCGGTCTTGACCATTAGCTGTTCGTTCCTTTCCAACCCTGAAAGCTCAACAAGGAGATTAGCCCTCATTGCTTCAGAAAGGCGGATATCAGGATCCAGCTCACGCAAGGTCGACCACCACCGCTTTCGGCGGGCTATGTAAGACAACATAGGCTCGCCGGGTTGCTTTGCAAGTGGGCCCGTCAGGAGCTGTCCCTGACGGAAAAGTTCGGACGCCTCTTCAGATTGAAGAGGGAAGGCTTGCCTCCTGATTTCTTCTATCAGGTAGTCGACGCCATCATGGCGAAGCAGACGTTCCAGGCCGACGTCGCGAGCGATGCAAAAGGCGTCTCCTCGGAGACCCTCCAAGATCTTGCTAACGCATTCGCTCATATCAAGCGACTCGTCCTTAATGTCTTGCAAGGTGTACCGCCGGATCTGTGTCCGGCTCTTGCTCATCGTCGCCCGCCACTTGGCTGGGGTGCGACGGCAATGACTCCGCATCCTCATCTTCTGCCTCGGACGCGGGCTTAGTCCGTTTTGCGCTGGACGGACTGGCGGGTATACCGCTGCTTCCATCACCATCTGTGGGCGATGCACTGGTCCCCTGACTTGCCCTGCCACGCCACTTCCTTGGTGACTCGCTCTTGGCCCTTGCCGACTCGGCAAAACGCAGGTCCTTAAGAGCTTCACGCCGCTGCTTCTCCTTATGTTGCAGCACGCGGATCTGTGTCCGGAAGCACCAATCGTGGAAGCCAGCAGCCGTACCGTCGTATATGTACGACCCGCTTTTGGTTTCTGCAGGGCTCAGGTTCTGTGACCAGAGATTGGGCTGGTAACGCAAACCTGCCACGCTCATGGCTTCAGATAGAAGGGGCCTTTGCGCCGCGACTATCACTACTCTACCCAACGGACCCCGGACCACAGGCTCTACGGGGGTGAAACACTAGTGGTTGTCCTCACAGCTCCGCTACCAGTTTGAAGCAGGAACTGGATTAGTGAGTGTCCAACCACACAACGAGCGCACTTTTTGGTCTGAGCCCAAGACGTCTGTCGTACAGGGTGCGTTCAGATCTAACTCAAAAGACTACGCTCGCATGAGGACATGTCAACACGGCACTTCAAGACAGGGAAATTTCACAGGCACGTAAAGCTTTCGGCTAGGACTTTTGCGCGCTTCGGCGCACCGAGGTATTCGAAATCATCTCAGCCCAGGCGTTTTAGGACAACTCCCGTCAAAGATACTACGAGTTAACCAACAAAATTCTGAGATTCAGAATCAAATCCCCAATATGCAGAGAGGCAGGTAGCACGTCCCCAACCGATACACGACGCTGGAACGCAGGTGTATTGTTGAATGATTGACCGCATTCCCGGACAGAAGCACATCTCAAAACAAGCAATGAGAAGCATTGTGCCAATGGGACAAAGCATATACATCGTACGGCGGGGATGTTGTCAACGACTCCGCGGAGTCTGCACCAAGTCACAAACTTAGCAGCGCTGTTTCACTCGACGAGCCCAAGGCGCCGCGGGCTTCACCGGGGTCTGCGACTTTTCCTAAACAGGGTCATCAACTCGGGGTCGCCCGTTTGTTTCGCCCATCTTTGGGAGCACTGGCTGATGTCCGGCAGTTGAAGATCACAAGCAAGTGACGACAGTGTGATAGTTGCTATTAGGAACGAATCAAAGACCATAAGAGAAATGCAATCAAAGGTGACACATACTACTGTGAAAGCTGAAGATTGAACTTAAGAGTATTGACATGACTACACCGCCAATGGAGGCGATATTGAAAGCAAGACGAAGCGACCTGATCCAGGAGTGCAGGCAAAACCATTCTCTCAACATAAACATCCAGCGCAAGGTGGCTGACCTGCCGCCACGCGTTTTGGCGCATGCCCAAATTTACGGCATGTTGGCTCCGAAGAGCTGTTTTGGGAGGGGAGGTTGGCGAAGCTAAAAAAAACATGACCACATCTCAAAACGAAAAGAGGAGTGTAAGAGGCTCACACTCTGTTTTCACACTGCTGGCACATGGATGCTGTGGAGAAGGGTGCCCGGGTGGCGGCGTCTCAGCCAGTTGGCACAAACTACCGCAATGCGAAGGTAGTTGAAAAACGGGCTGAACGGAACAAAAGACGCTTGCTTGCTGCACAGAACGAAAGTCGGTCAAAAGCACTTTGCTACTGTGCCTGCTGCCGGATGTGTGGGTTGAGTTCGGGTCGGGTTGCACTGGGAAGTGAGTCTTGCTAGCGAGAGCACCTGAATGTCTCCACAGGATGTCCAGCATATAGCGTCCAGCAAAGGCGTGAAGACCTGAAGGAAGAGGAACGACAACAAGCACAAGCCGTGAGTTCCGTGCAATGCAGCAATATGAACACACGCTGATGTCAACGGCCAAGTCCCGGTTGTAACAGACCACTGTCGTGCGATCCTTCCAAATCTTGCAGATCTCGACGAGGTCTGGAATGCCGCCTTGCCTTGCCCTGAAAACATACCCTATATGGCCCTATGGAGTCACTATGTACTATGTTACTATGTTGTGTGTTGCATATAGGCAAGCGCCATACGCTGCGAATTGACATCCCCGTGAAATCGGCGCCGCTTGAAAGTTGGAAAGCTGGCTCAAGTCAACGCCACAGCACCCTCTGTGAGGCTGGGCTCTGCTTCGTGCCCCCAACCAAGAGCAAAAGAAAGCTCAGACTCTGAAATTCTCCCGGGATCCTCGCGGAGAGCTTGGACTCTGCCGTCGCTTCCTGAAAACCATCCGCCTCTCAGCAGAGCAGAGCAGCAAAGCACGCGGCGCGGCTCCGCGAGCAGCTCCGCCCTGGGCCGCGATGCGCGAAAAAAAGGCCTCGTCAGCTCCGACCCTGGCGATGCCCACCTCTGCAGAGAGAGAGAGAGAGAGAGAGAGAGAGGCCCGGCCGCCCCACGCCGCCCTCCGCTCCTGGGCGAAGTTCTCCTCCTTGGGAACCTCCGCCGTCACCTCTGCGCGACCGCCCGCTTCTCGACTTCTCGACTTCTCGCTCGCGTCGTCGCCTCGAAGACCAGCCGAAAGCTCCGCCTGCAGGGCCAAACGGCCGTGCGGGCGGGTGGCCGGGCATCTGCTCTGACTGCTCTGAGGCCCGGGGCCCTGCAGGCAAAGCGACCCCAAGGCCGCTGCACTCGGGAAAAGCACCTCAGACACCGGTTCCAGGCCGAATCCGAAGCGCATGGCTCGCCTCCGCCTCCCTTCGTTGCCTTTCTCCGCCATTCAGCCATTCCCCAGACACTTGAACTCGAATTAGCGGTTCCGGCGTGTGGGCTCAGAACTGCTCTTGCACCTGCGAAAGGGAACCTTGGCCGCACCATGTCCGAGACTGCAGACTGCTTGACTACGGGGCCGTTGTTTACGGCCACTCAGTGCGAGGCCGGAAGCTGGCAGCGGCGGCGGCGTCAGCCTCGTCTGCCTCTGGCAGCCAGAACGGGATGCGTACGTCGCCGCGGCTGCCGTCGCAGTGTGTCGCGGAACTGTCGCGCCGACGAGAGTTTCAGAATCTGGAGTGCTTGTGGACTTCGCTCTTTGAAGAACATCTCCCTCGGCGCTTCTCGAAGGGGGAGCTCCAAAGAGCTTCTTCCGCCTTCCGAGTGTCCCCGATCACGACTGTTAGCTGTTAACACAAATGCTGCTACAATCGGCGTGGTCGGCGAACACCGCAGTGCACTCGAGAGTCGCAATACTCCTGAATTTCTACTCAGAAAAGCCCGAGGAGCGAACCCCTGCTGTGTGCTACAGCCGGCAACAGCAAGACAGCTCGACTCTCGACTGTGTCGGCTTCCTGGCTTGGGCTTTTTCACGAGCGCCATTCTGACAGCCAGTATCGCAACCACTCCTGCTTCGGGTGATGCTTGAAACAAGAAGACCGAGAGAATAACAGCAACAAGTGACAACAATAACAGCAACACCAGCACCAGCACCGGCACCAGCAACGGCAACAGAGCAACAGCAGCAAAAAAAGCAACAACAGCCATAGCCACAACAACAGCAACCACCGCGACAACAACACCAGCACCAGCACCAGCAAGACCAGCAAGAGCAAGAGCGAGCTCTTGCAAAAGCACAACCACCAACACCAAACACCACCACCACCAACAACAACAAGACCACAACCAACATCACCACCACCACCAACAACAACAGCAAGGGCAACAGCAACAGCAACAACAACAGCAGCAGATGACTCCGACATCCGAGTTCTGTGACAAGGCCCAGAAGCAATCCCAGCTGTGAGCTCACAGACCTAGGGCAGGCCTGAAGTACCTCAAAAGACGCTCAACACTGAAAGCGCAAGAAGAGGAGCTTCGCCCAAGAAAGAGAATGCAGCAATATGCAGCATGCAGGAAGTCATCTGAAGATCCACTCAGAATGGTTCCGCGAGACTGGAGCAGGACTGATAGCACTGCTAATCTGCTCATCGGCATGGAACCCCACTTCCCTTGGGCCTCTCGAGGGTCCAACGGCTCCTGGCAGTCGCGGCACCTCGGCTCCCGCTCCGGCTCCGTTGCGGCTCCGCTGCCTCTCCTCCTCTCCTCCTCAGACTCCTCAGACTCCTCAGACTCTCCCCCCTCTGTGGACCCTCGGAGCCGCAGCCCCGCCCCCGCGGGGGGCCCTGAGCTGAGCGGCGCCGGTGGGAGGCCAGGAAGACGCGCCGGAGCCTCGCGCGAAGAAGGAGACCGCGACCGCGCGTCCCCTTCGGCCCCGCTGCCCTCCGCCCCGCTGCCCCCCGCCGGCCTCTTCACCAAGTCCAAGTACCTCCAGAGACACACAAACACACACAAATTCACACTCGCTCGCCACAAATCGCCCCACGCCGCCGCAACACAGACTACACAGAACACGCGCTGAGTGTTGCTGCTGGCCTGCTGCTTTCGGCCGCCAGGCATTCGGCGACCGTGCCGCCCGCCGGCAATGCACCGGAGACCTCGGGGAGGAGATCGCTCTGACATGCGCGCGCGCGCGCCCAACCTGAGCCCAACACTCTGACACTCTGGTCTGGTGAGCTGCGCTCTTCTTCTCTTTCTCCAGCACGTGCACCCGCCCAAAATCTCGAACCAGCCGACGCCCACTGAGGAGGGGTGCGACGAGGCAAAAAATGCGTAAACAACGTGTATACATATGGAGAGACACGTGAGGAAACACGCCAGATTACGAAGTGAAGGCGACTTGAACCCTGGCACTGGTACAGGAAGAAGTTGCAGGTTGAAGTCGCATCATCAACCGTTGCTGAGTACCTACGATAGAACTGCAACATGCCGCATATCCATTGGCAAGGCGTGGCAAATTTCACGAAGCTAATCGAAAAGCAGAGTCCCCCAAACTCAGCAGAGCTATCCGTAGCTGGGTGCGGCACCGCTGGGTGCCCTCCGGGTCCTCGTCTTAAGGTGGATGTCCAGTCCTGGGAGAGCGCCGCTGGGCCGAAACTTGATCCGAATCCACGTTCTCTGCCGCTAGAGCTCGTGAATGGCCAGGAGCATCTGGTGGTAGCCCCTGCAGTCGCCGCACGGCGGGTGCAGTCTCATGGGATTCTGACCTCTCAGCTGGAGCACAGGATGTCGCGTCCTGCCGCCAAGCACCGTCGGAGAAGGAATTCGAACCCCCAAACGGCCCTGGGATCCCAACTGGAGAGGACTTCCAGCGAGATGGCTTCATCCTCCGCGCCTGTGCCGCATGCCGCCAAACGCATCCAAACGGTATATGCGTCCCAGTTGCGAACCCACGACGTCGTCTCTCTGAGAAGGCAGCGGCCCATGGCGTCCGTGTCACAGCCGGCCGCCGCCCGGCGGGCGGCCGCCCCGACGACGGGCGCCTGCGTCGCAGCGAAGCGGCTTTGCCCGCGAAATTCCGATCAGCTGAGAACTCGATTTCGGCTCGGCTCGGCTCCAAGCTGCAGCTGCAGCTGCAGCTGCTGCTGTGCTGTCGGCGGGTTCCGCCGCCAAGAAGGGATCTGCTGCCGTCTCGATCTCCCTCATCCGAGCATTCTTGGGGTCATGGCACACCGCTTGCAAGCTCTCCCGCTTATCAGCACAAATGGCTTACAGAGGCTACCTGTGCCTGAATGGTAGGGCGCTTGAAAGCTCTGCAGCAGCCAGCGACGCAGCCAGCGACCTCTGGCGTGAGGCCTCCACGAAATTGCCAGGCTTGGGTGCAGTCTCAGTCGCAGCTCAAGACCAGACCGTGTCTTGAAGCAGCAGAAAGACCACCTGAGACTGCAAGCTGCAAGCCACAACGCTCGAGGTACAGCTCCAGCGGAGCAGGGTGGGGCAGGGAGAAAAGTGCTGCCAAGCTGCGACCAGGAGCAGGCTCCTGCGGGCTTTTGCACATCGCCTGTTTCCGTGCTTCTGACTGCCGTGCCGCCGTGTCGCCGTGCCTGCGCATCAAGCCACCGCTGCCCTCAGGGCGGGGCGCAGAAAGCACAGCACAGTGACAGTGAGAGCGCGGTCCGCGGCGGCCTGGGACACCGCGGAAGCTGAGCGGCGCCGCTGCCTCGGTAGCGGACGGCGGTTGACGGAGAGAGAGAGAGAGAGAGAGCTCAGAGGCTCAGAGGCCTCTCAGCCGCTGTGCTCCGAGGCCGCCGCGCCTCGGCGCCTAGCAGAGCGGAGCAGTGGCCGCAGCCGCCGTTGGCCGCACAGCGTGGCTTCGGCTTTTGCTTTTTGTTCGCTGCTCGCTGCAGCTCGCTCTTCTTCCGAGACTCCGGCGTAGCCGTGAGCTGTAGCGGCCAGAAAGCCCTCATCGCGCTCTCAGCTCTCTCTGGCCGCGGGAGAGCCTCCCACCCTCGCCCTCGCGCCTGGTGGCACCTCTCCAAGCAGCTGAAGCACCTGAAAAATCCAAAGACAAACGAGTGGGAACGGGCACGCCGCTCTACGCCGCGGTACGCCTCGCATGCCTCGCACCTCAGCAGAGGAGATCGGATGGTAGGCACGGCCAGCCTTGAATACATAGTTTTGTCCCAACAAAGTCTCAGCTTACTCGGGCCCGCCTTCCTGTGCTCCGCTTCCTCCTCCCTTTCCCAAGCCTTACGTGAGAGCCGGAGGGGCCTTCAGCCTTCTTCTGCCGCCATTGCTCAGCTCACTGCTTCCAAGTCAGCCTCACGGTCCGCAGGACATTTCAAAGCAGGAATACAAGCTGACAAGCTGATCTTCCCTGAGCTTCCCACTCGACTTCGCTCGGGTTCTGAGCTGAGAAGTGATGCATGTCTCTGACAGAATCTCACAAGAAACCCTGATAGTCCAGGACGTGCGTCCGTGCGGCCTCCGCGCGCCTATGCTCGTCCCGCCCCACGCCTCCCTCGCATCTCACTCTGCCCGTGTCCTCCGCATCCCGCTCCGCGTCACTCGCGTCCATCTCTTTTGACCGCGCGGCCCTCGCGAGGCAGAACAAGTGCATGATACCTTCATCGTGGCTCCAGGAGTGTGTCGGCAGCCCGACGACTATCAGTATGGATGATAGATGGCAGCCAAACAGTGTCCCTCCGTGCCCGCTTGCACGCACCGGTTCTCATCTCAGCACACAGACCCACCAGGGTGTTCTTTTTTGGGATGCCAACACCAAGCTCCTTTGTCCCTGCCATGCAGATCGGGGGCCTTCTTGTTCTTCTTGTTGTTGTTCTTGTTGTCGTCATCGTCGTCATCTTTGCTGTTCCTGTAGGTATGGCTGGTGTAGGTGTTGGTGTACGTTCTGGTGTTGCTGTTGCTGCTGCTGGCTGGTGGTTGGTGGCTAGCTTCCGGTAGCTGCCACGGCTATTGGTGCTGGTGCGGCTTCGGTTGCGGTTGTTGCTGTTGCTGTTCCCGTTGCGGCTGCTGTTGTTGATGCTGTTGTTGTTGCTGTTGCTGTTGTTGTTGATGCTGGTGTAAGCCTCTCGGCTCAGGAAAGGTCAGGCTAGTACAGTTGCCTTTTTCCTTTCTTGCCATGGCATTTGTCAGCGCCTGAGCAGTCCCGGTCCCAAGTCCGGGAGGGAGTATTAGATCTACAGCTCTCTAACATCTCCCAGAGGTGAGGGTTGTCGGTATTGCGAAGCCGACAGGAGCCGTACTCAACATGAGTGCTGCGAAACAGCCTAGTGGTTCGACCAAGCATCAGCCCGTTCCTAAAGGGAAGGGTAAACGCTCTTATCAAAGGGCAGCACGTAAAGCTCTGCTTGAAGGTAGTGCGGTCTACAAGGGAAGGACGATGTCGTCAACAGAGCTTGGAGTTGCTCCGGCACATGTAAAGCCCACCAATCCCGGCAGAAGGACTCGGCCTTCAAAATTTACAGAAGATAAGAATCTCAGCTATCTATCCTGGAACGCAGGATCTCTCACAGCAGCAGTTTGGGAAGAGTTACTCTCCGTACTGCAAAGTGCAGCATTTCAGGATGTGAAGCTGGTAGCAATTCAGGAAACACACTGGAGGGGCTCATGGCAATTCAGCAAGTCAGGTTGGCACGTGATCAGCTCTGGCTCCACAGGGGAGAAGGGAGCCGGGGTCCTTATAATGGTGCACTCCACGCTGTGCAAGTCACAGGATCTTCGCTACAACGAGGTTGTTCCAGGAAGAGTTCTCCAGGTCCGGGTGCCGAGCAACGGCATCTCACTGGACGTCTTCAGCTGCTATCAATACGTTTGGCGCTCTAAGGAGACTGTCGCTCAGAATAAGGAAACCCGGAAGCAGACCCTTCACGCCCTAAGTAAGTCCATCCGAGCTGTTCCCAATCGCAACACTCTCCTTGTGCTAGGAGATTTTAACTCCTCGCTCAAGACCGACAACAAACACGTAGGGCCATGCACGATCCAGGCTTGCAGACTTGGGCATCGCGGATCTAAGGATCTCCAGACCCTACTGTTGGAGCACCAGCTAGTCGCAACCAACACTTGGGGAGTGCATAGACCCGCCACCCACGAACAAGGCAACTCAGTTTCACAGATTGACTTCTCGTTTGTCAGGATTGCACAGTCCCAAGGCCCTGCCAGGTTTTGCCGGCCACTAAGGACCTTCCCAGTGGCATCCTGGAGGGATGGCAGTAGGCATTTCCCCCTTCTTGGTAAACTGAGGCACAGCAGGAGATACTCCGCCCAAGCCTCAAAACCCTATGACCAGCAGGCAATGGAGGACTGCTACAGACACCGTTCCCCGAAAATACAGGCATTTGCCAGGGAGGTAGACTCCCTCCTTCAGGATCATCCCCAAACCTGGCAGAGTCTCCATCAAGCAATGAACTCAGCCCTCACGACTCACTTTCCCAAGAAAAAGGGAGCAGCACAAAGAACAGATCTCAGCATTTGGGCAGAGCGCACAGTGTTGCGCTCACTCCCAATGTCAGTCAAGGTCTTAGCAGAGTTCTTGCCGGAGTTGCAGGTCCGAATGGTATTTCGCTGCTGGCTGTCGCTGTCTCAGCAAAGTGCACAGGCGAGGGTAGCAAAGCGTCAGAAGCAGGAAAGGCGACGACAGGAAATAGATGAACAACTTGAGCAGGCAGAGCTTAAATCCAAGCAAGACGGGAGTCATTCCCTCCCTACAAGGTGATCAAGCGCTTCCGGTCGGGGAGGCCTCAGGAAAGAGTTCAGCTACGTGACTCAGAGGGTCGCTTCCTAACAGCCAAGGAAGAACGTAGACAATTAGAGGAATACTCCATTGAACTGTTTGGAGCAGGGGACGACTTCCCGCTCACAGGGATACAAGGCAGCCTGCACATCACCGAGCAAGAAGTTCAAGAACAGCTAGGCACAATAAAGCTTGGCAAAGCAGTTCCTAAAGAAAGTCCTCCCATAGTAGCTTGGCGCTCCCTAGGCCCCAACGCTATTCGGCTTATCTCGGACACTCTCAATAGGGAGGTCACTGCAGGAAGGCTTTCGGACAGCGTCACCTCGTCACAGATCTCTTGGCTCCCAAAGCCCCCCAAGAAGCCAGATAAGCCAACATCACTCCGTCCGATCGGGGTGATAGCACCTGAGGGCAAGGTCCTGGCAGGACTTGTGAGGCAGAGACTCAAGTCCACCCTCCATCAAGCAATGCAAGGAGTCTCTCAGTTTGGCTTCGTGCCAGGTAGGGGCACAGAGGAGGCGATCTGTAAGGCCCTCACACATGTGGATCAGGCCAGGTTCAGGCAGGCCCTTACAACTAGAGCGGCTGGTAAGGGACAACAGGGGCTTAAGCTCAGGGGCAGTCTCACGATGAGCGTTGACATGAGCAAAGCTTTTGACACTGTGGACAGGCTACGATTAAGAGAAGCCCTGGAAGCTGAACAAGCAGACCCTCTTCTTATAGAGGTGGTGGGCCATCTCCACATCAAAGCCTTGTACAAGATGACAGCCAGCGATCAGAGCTTTGAGATAGCCACACGCAGGGGAATCAAGCAGGGATGCAAGCTTGCACCTTCCCTATTCGCCTTTGCATCCGGGCTTCTCTTTAGGAAGCTCTCTGGAAAAATCAGCCCCCCCGAACTAGTTAAACTTCTCACCATGTATGCGGATGACAGCTTGATTCAGTCGCATTTCGAGTCTGAGTCTGGCCTCATTACAGCACTAGGGTACTGCGACCTTCTTCTGGATCAATTGGTTGAACTTGGGTTCAAGGTCAATCCGTCCAAGTCAGCAATACTGCTGCAGCTACAAGGAGGTTCAGCCTCGACAATTAGGAAAAAGCTATTTCGCCAAGTAGATGGAGAGAAGTTTGTGGAACTCCCTTCGGGCAGGTTGATATCGCTGCGTTACCAGGTTCCATACCTGGGGGTCATTCTTTCTTATCATGACTATGAAATGAAGACCCTTAAACATCGGCTGTCATCCAGTAAGCTAGCAATGTCAGAAGTCGCCCATGCAGTTAGGAACCATCGAGTCCTATCAGACAGACGTCGTCTGTCAATTTGGACAATAACTGCGTGGGCCTCTGCTCTGTATGCCCTTCACGTGGTAGGACTGACACAGCAGGGATTGCAGAAGCTCCATTCACACATGATGTACCAACTTCGGTTTGTCCTGCGGAGCTACTCCCAGGAAACGAAGGAATCCAACCAGGAGTTACTCCGGAGAGTACGGATTCCTCACGTGAAGGAGCAGCTGCAAAAGAGGCTTACACAGTTCATTAAGAGACAGCAACACTCAGATCCTCAGCTCCTCCCACACTACAAGCTGCGCGCTGAGGCAATCAGCCAGGCTCTGGAAGGCCTTGCCATTGACTTCTCCTCGCAATCAGTAGAGGATAAGATCCTGACCTGCGGCGAGTGTGGAGCATGTCTCTCTGGTACCGGGGCACTCCGTCGCCACCTGCAGAAGGCCCACCCAGATTCGCAGCAAAGCTTGAAAGGACCTAGATTTGACCCTATTTTGCATTCAATGCCAGGGTCAGCAACTTGCATCGCCTGTAGAGCAACATTCCGAACAGTGTTCTCTCTGCGCAAACACGTCGAAGCTTCTACATGTCCTCGGGTAGAGCTCTTGCTTCGACAGCAGGAAGAGCTCCCTCTAGAAGCCCAGAACCGGATTTCACTTACAGAAAGTCTACAGTCTGATGCTCAGGAAAATCCGGAAGGCGCAGCTCGAAATCCGGTGTTCCATGATTACCTGATGGAGCACTGTGCACTCTGCGGTCAGGTCCTTGTTGGTCAGAAAGGAGCCAAACAGCACCTAAATAAGCAGCATCCTGAAGTGATGGCCAAGCTTGAGAAAACTCTCCAACCAAGACTTGCTCAGTTCAAGGTCTTCTTTCACAAAGGAGATAGCTGTCGCTATTGCAAACTCCGTGTGGATGCCCCGGGTAGACATGCTCAGCAGTGCGTTCCACTACTGCAGGTGCACGTACTGCAGGAGGTAGCGCGTCAGCAGCTCAGTAAGCAGCCCCGAGAATATACTCGAGCAAGGCCCACGACCTCGGCGAAGACAGCCACAAAGAAGCCCACAGATTCAATGCCAGGTATTCCCCTTCCCGAATTTAGACTGGAAGGCTTTCTCCTGCTAGCCAACACTCGCAACCACTGCTATGCCAACTCAGGTCTACAGTGTCTGCACTGGCTATCTGATCCCACAGAGGCGCCTTTTCACGAGGCATCTCGGATCAGTCTACTCGCGAGAATAACCCCTGAACACAGAGTCTTCTCGGAGCTCACCACGGGCTGGCTCTTTGACGGAGGACAGCATGATTCTGCAGAGTTCCTGCAGCAAGTGTTTCGGAATCTCTCTGCATCAAAATTTGGACAGTGG